AAAATAGGGTAATATACTTATAAAGTAAATATATGTCTATGCACTATACTCTTACATGCACATTATAAGTATACATGTTTTATTTTGTAGTAACTTTAGCGCTGTTCTAAGTTCTGTCTTTGTTGTGGTATAAACTAACTGCCTTAAAGTAATATTTAGAGTGCAATAAAGAAAACAAATGCTCACGTGCAGATTAACTTAACTATTCAGTAAAATAAATTAATTACTCATTTAAAAAGAATAATTGTCGTGAGAGGCTTAGATGTTTTTAACCAGTATGTATACACATTTTATGTTACTATGGGTTTAACGGTTTTAGTTATATTACTCATTTAATATTAATACACATTTAATTTGGCTTAGGGTTCATAAATAATGGATAACAGAATTAATACCAAAGTTATAATAAAAATACAACAACAAATACTATGCATTACTGAGACAATCCAATGCCGAAACAAAATCTACGATCCAATGCCTCACCTAATTTCGCATGTAATCGGAGCCAGTGCTCGAACATCGGAGCATCCTGCCAGCTAGCTTATACATTCAGGATATAGGTAACAAAAATACGAACTCAATTCAGCTCGAAACGCACCGCAATCGCAATATACTTACTACACTATTAGTGCCTAAGAACAAAAACTTTGATAGCAATACATAGTGATGGATAAATATAATAACTTTCAATATCAAGCTTCCTCCCTACCTGCACTGATGTATCTTATATTGCACCATTTAGAACATGCTATTTAAAATGCTACATAGTAGCTAACGCCACGTAGTGTTACGGAACACAATTATTAATATATCGTAGCACTTTACGTAGTAGATACTACGTGAAACTATTATTCGTACAACTAAATCTGCGCAAAGATAAGAAGACTAAGTCTATGATAAGTCACCAGGTTTTACTCGTTTTTGTCTCTGAATTAAACACTTATGCTTACAAATATTTCTATTTTGCTAATCAGAAGCTTAAAGAAGCACAAAAGTTATGCGGATAAGTCAGTTCAAGTTAGGAAGGATAAGTCAGTGCAAGTTAGGAATATAGTGAACATCTACAAAAATAAATTCACATTTTTCATCTTATTATTACAAGCTTTTTATTAACTTGTTTACGTCGTAAATATTTCTAATTGTAAATTTGTAATAAATTTTTAAATTAGTTGCTAATGTCTGATTGAGCTGAAGTTTGACACACTTATTATAAGTTCCTATAATCGATTTCCTAGTACTTGTATCATAAAAGGAGATCTCTACACTCCAATTATTTGTATGATAAACCTATTGTTACTGAATAAACTTTTTTTTTAATTTGATGACAATTCTATTATACGGTAGCTTGGCGCTGATTTGATGATAGACCCGGACCTAGCAATGAATATAAATACTGTCTGCTTTTGTTGTAGACGATTGATTGTTGTGGAACTGAGGTGATCGTCTAAATTAAACGCGATATAATCCATATAATTAATTTGAGGTGCTGAAATTCGCATAAATATATACATTACTATTATTCCAATTCTACACTCGGTGTTTTCAGTTAGCAAATTTTATTTTTCGAAATTAGTTGTTTTATCTAAACACAAGTTAGTTAAAAAGGCGCTGTGTTCTCTTACATTTTCCCGATATTACAAAATCTTATAAGAAGCGATATTTGGGAGCAGCTGATTGAAATTCAAGTATTACTACATTTCTTTTCTCTTTTTTAAAACAAGGGTGAGAAGCGAACACACTATCCATCTGATAGTAAGTGGATGCTTTTGCCAAGAGACACCTCCAACAATCTCCAAAGATAAAATAAATGCCTCTTTCCAATAAAAATGGTCGCCGGTCCCCTATACTCACCATACGAAACCCAGTAACAATAAGCTGCTTTTTTCACACTGGTATCAGGTATGAGATGAAAGAGAAGGACCACACTTCTCCAATTGAGCGAACCTATTCGTATCACATATAAAAGGTCTTTATACCTTTTCCCCTTTCCACCGTTCTGGTTTCATAATCGTTTGCTACCCGAGCCGCGCGCCTATCGAATGTACATGCCTGAAAAAACAAGACAACCTTCCATCAAACAAACATTGAAAACTATTGTTCGGACTCATTTACAAAATTCAAAACTGCTAAGCTCCTATTATGTATCTTAGGTAAAATTTTCTTATAATATATATATATACTAGCTGGACAGGCAGACGTTGTTCTGTACTTTCTGTGGACTATTCCTAAAATTCTTAAATTCGCAATAAAAAAAAATATTGAGAGTCACTTATCGAGATACAAACTATCCTGTCTCTCAAGTTGGACCAAACTGCACAAAGTGTGCAAAATTTAATTTTTACGTTCTTTGTAACTTCCTTCTTCAAATAACTTCGCCTGTATATTATTCTTTGCCTTTGCCTATAAGGATTGAATAAATAAAAAAATTATCGTTATAAAAAAATTACATCCTTTTGCAAATTGTATGTAGTAGATATCAACCATATAATCGAAGATCACTTACTAAATATATATAAATAATGCAGTGAAAGAATAAACCTGATAGAAAGGAAATTCCCAGAAACTATTTTATTGTAAGTTGCTCAACTTTTTCCGCAGTTCAGAGAATCACTTTGAAGTACCGTTACAAATCTTTACTGTTAGATTTGGGATCCAATAAAATATATGTCCAAGAAAAGGTTACCTCGAGGTCATATTTGTTATCTGAAATCGACAGTAAAAAAGTAACATATATGTAGGTTTCTTCCTTTATATTTGTATAATTTTATATACTTAAATGACACTAGTATTTTTTTCTGCCTAAAGACCGATTTACACTTCGACAAGTGCATGAGCGAGTTTAGTTACAGGGCAGTTAACAGAAACGGTTAAGTGGGCAGTAGCGTTCAAACAATGTCTTCGTGGCAAGTTTAGTTAAGGACATTAATTCATAGAGTTCGTTAGAGTATGACGTTTCAAGACTACAGAATGTTTCTGGTTTTCGTTTAAGATAGTTCTAGGATTACGTCAAGAATTAAATGATCCAGTCAGAGAAGTATTAATGGTTGTTGTTAAAGAAGTTTTTAAGAATTTTTATGAGTGCAGCACCTCGAGCAGGTTTAATTTTACAATTTGAACTTCTACTATTATATAAACATTCGTGTTTTAGATACTCCTGTATAAATTTATACGTGATATCTTCCGTCCGTTTTATTATTAAAACTCAATATAAAACGTATACATATTCAATAAATAGTATCGGACAAACTTTGTGGCGAGTTTAATTATAAAAATACAATTGTACGTTTTGGCGCGCAAACATCGCGTCCTGTCAACTTATGCACTGAACTAAACTCGCTCGTTTACACGAACGGCGAGTTTAGTTGCGGGGGGCGGGAGACGCGCGGGAGAACAGCACTTCGCACTTAACTCGCCGAAAAATAGCTCAGCCGGTTATCCCGTTCAACTTAATCGTTAACTTGCTACTTAACTCGCTTATTGCCGTTCAAACGAGGTTGAAAATTAACTCGCCGGGTTCGCAAGTTAACTCGCTACTGTACTTTCTGTAAGTGTAAATCGGTCTTTAGAGAACTGATGATTTATTTAGTACTAATATTTTGAGCGATAAACATGTTAACGTCGAGTCCGTGATAAAAAATAATTTAAAATTGTAAAACCAGTGAAATTCTTACTTTACTGTACCGAAAACTGTAAATAAACTTCCAAAGTTATAGTGACAGTGTTATTTCCGCAATTGTGATCCATTAACACAAAAAAAAACAATTTCAGAAATATTTTTATTCTACTACAAGTACTAGTGAAAGTAATAAGAATTAAACAAAAAAGTAAAAACACAGTAAAGACAGTGAAAAGTGATCGTATACAGTGACAAAAAACATTACAATATTCACAAAATAATAAAAAATAATATCAGTGATTAACATTAACTAAGCAATAAATTTTTGCAGCATGAATCATAGTAACGATCTCGGTACATTTTAAATAACAGTAACCAGCAAGTACTCGAAAATTTCAATACTATAAGCAAAAGTCATACTGGTGTGGTGGTATGTGCCTATAAACACTTGTACCGAACGAGAGATCGTGAGTTCGTATCGCAGCATTTAGCGGATCTTTTTCATAATTTATGTTGAAAGTTATTTCGACATCAAATTTACGTATTTATTCCTATTTCAATTGATATCTGAATTTGTATTTCTATTAAGATTCTAATTGATATTTAAATAGTGCTCAATTGGATTATCCACAACACTCTTTAAAAAACTGAGCAAATATAATGTCATCTTCAAAGAACAACGTTCTAAAAATAAAATGCGACAAATGCAAAACCTTACTTACCAGACGTGAACACGTATCTTGTTCATAATGTAAGCGCAACCTTGACCTGGTATGCGCTAACGTTCCAGTTCATCGATTTAATGTCATGGATGCAGAGAGGAAAAAGAGCTGGAGATGTGATAAATCCGTAAATAAAACTTCTTCTGCAACAAAAACGGGGCCATCGTCCGTCTCAAAAGAAGTAGTAAATACACCACAAAATAGTAGTAATATTTTGTGGTGTACTTCACGTCTCCTTGGAGGAATTGGCAAATAACTTAACCGAGGACTATGCGAGTAATACCTCGTCAACGTTACTTGAAGACACGCCGAAAAGTTTACCAAATTTATCAGTTGATGATGACTCAGAACTTATTGAAGAGATCAACCTGCTTAAGACTCAATTAGCTAGCGCTCATGCGGAAATTGAACAATTAAATATACAGGTCACCAACCTTCAAAAGATAATAGAAAGCCAACAAAAAAAGAGCAAAATATTTAAACAACTACTTTCCGAGCCTAGTCCATGAAAGTTGACGCCATCGAAATCTGTCAAAACCAAGCACAGATCACTCCGAAATATTGCTCTAGCATCCTCCCCAAAAAACACTCCCTGTAACGATGATATATCAAACTCTGAAGCGACTACTTTACCTGGGACAAAGGAAATAAGACAGCATGAAATGGCAAACAATTCCAAAGAAACGACACCCACAGTATCTTTCAATGAACAAAGCCAGAGAATTGTTATTATTGGCGATCAAACAGCACGGAACATGGCGACATCTTTAGCACAAACAAGATCTAATTACAAAAATCCAAAGAAATATTTTATCAGTGGAATAGTATATCCAAATGCAAGCATTGAACATGTAATTCAGTGTTCTAAAATTATGATTGAAGAACTACAAGAAGACGACTGGCTTGTTCTATGTCTAGGATCCAATGACTCGAACCCAATTAAAATAGGCATGGAGCTGTCGTCATTACTTAAGAGACAAAATTAGGCAAAAATATTAATAACCCGTATCTTAATGTAAAAAGACTCAATTCCTATATTCAAACTATTTTAAAGTGTTTCAAAAATGTCAACTACCTAGATTTAAGTTACAATTGTATACATCCGTGTCGTAGAGTAAATAATGTGATAGACACAATTGACTACAAAAAGTATTTCCTATATAATTCAAAAAATAACAATGGCATACCAAAAGCTGACTGCAGGTCACTGGAAACCAATATAACGCAAAGCCAGGCACCATTCCTTTCTATTTTAAAACTCCTCCCAATGTCAATCCCTATTAACAAAAAAGTGGAACCTCCTAAATGCACGATTCCATACTACTTTAAGACAGTAAAAAAATACGTTTGTACACAAAAAGACACTGATCAGCTTTTTCATTAGGAACGACAATAAACACAACTCTTTTCGACTTCTTCATCAAAATATAGCTGGTGTACTAAATGAAATTGACATTATAGACTTGACGCTAATAGAATTATCACAATCTTATAAATCTATTGACATCTTATGTTTAACTGAAACGTTTATACAGCGAGGTTGCAAGGCCAATTTGAATTTAAACGGATATAGGTTGGCTGCGTCGTTCTGTCGGCCGAAACAGAGACGGGGTGGCGTTTGTGTTCTCAGTAAAAAAAGGACTGGAATGCAAACCTATTGATATTGCTAACCAACTTGCTTGTACCTATCACTTTGAATGTTGTGGAATAGAAATCGCGCAATATAACCTTACCATTATTTGCATTTATAGAACACCGGATAGCAATGTTAATCTATTTTTTTACAAATTAAATGAGTTTTATATCATTTAACAAACAAAAAACGTGCAAAAAATATATATTATGTGGCGATTAGAATATAGATATTGTCAAAGAATGAAAAATACGTACGAGCTATTTGAAATATTAGAAGGTTACAATATATCTATCCATATTAAAACCCCTACTAGGAAAAATGCATGTATTGATCAAATAGCCAGCAATATAAGCAAGGTAGATGCCGAGATCTTAAACCTGGCATTATCAGACCATGAAACAGGTCAAGCCATATCATTTCAAATTCAAAGAAAATCTACTGTAACAACCTGACATGAATTTCGCAGAGATTACAGTAAAGAAAACATTCAAAAGTTTTCTGACTATCTATCCACGCATCTCTCCTTCTCGGAAGTGTACAACAAGACCAGTGTTGATGAGGCCTATAGATCATTCCATAACTTGTTAACTCTATTTCATGGACTTTGCTTTCCTATAATTAAACTTACGAGAAACAACATGTGTAATACAGGTGGAAAACAAAAGGTATAAAAAAGTCAAGTATTACGAAAAGAAAATTTTACCTAACCTATAAATACTCAAAAACTAATAAAATAAAACTAAATAACTAACTAATAAAAAACTAATAAAAAACCAACTTAAAATACATTCTTAATAGTAAAATACTTGCAAAGCTGTTTGGAATTCAGTAAATTCAAGTATAAATGAAACTACCCAAATTAATAAAATTGACGTAATTAAATTTAATAACCAAACAATTAGTAACCCTGGCATGATATGTGAATTATTTAACAATTTTTTTATTGACCTAAGTAACATCAATAATACAAATAATTCTGGTAACAATTCTGCTCAACCAAATATAGATACAAATCCAAATACAATTTTCTTACAACCAACAACCAGCGGAAATTAAAAAATAATCAAAGAACTAAAAAACACGAATTCAGTTGGCTACGACGAACTCATTACCAAAATACTAAAGTCATGTGCCTGTTATATCTGTACACCACTAAGTTTCCTTATAAACCTATCATTTGTCCAGGGCTCATTCCCGGAACATCTTAAGATTTCTATAATAAAACTAGTTCACAAAAAAAGGAGATGAAAAAGATCTCAATAACTATAGACCAATAACTTTGATCCCCGTAATATCAAAGACATTTGAGAGAACTATGTACGATAGACTAAGTAAATTTATACAAAAATTTGGTATCTTAACTGAAGATCAATTCGGTTTTCACAAAAAGAGATCCACGACTTTAGCATGCTTCAATTTTATTAAAGACATAGCAGAGAGTATCGATAGAAAAACTCCTGTAACTGCGCTCATGCTGGACATGACCAAAGCTTTTGATCTTGTTGACCACGAAATTCTGTTAAAAAAAATTGAAAGTTACGGGATAAGAGGTACACACATGGCTAAGCAGTTACTTGCAAGACCGAAAACAATGCACAGAAATCACGACAAGACAGCATATTTATCAAAGAACTACATCGTTCACAGTTTAAATTTAATGACCGTGGTATCCCTCAGGGTAGTATTTTAGGACCTTTAAACTTTTTGCTATATATTAATGACTTGTCTAAAATAACCAATCATAAATGCATCTTGTTCGCAGATGACACACCTTTTATATTTAAATGCACCAAAAAAGACATATATGAAACTGAAATAAATAATCTATTGTGACATGGCTTAATTCAAATAATCTTTTACTTAATATTGACAAAACCTATAAATATGAATATAAAATATGAAAATTCGAAGATAGAAAATGTTGAATCAGCTATGTTTTTAGGTATAAAAATTGACAAAAATTTAAACTGGAAGCCTCACATTGACCAGATTTGTACAAAATTAAACCGGTTTGTATATGTTTTAAAAAGATTGAGAAAAACAATATCACAAAAGCAGCCCTAGCTGGTTATCACGGTTATGTGTCGTCAGTATTATTATATGCTCTGCCTTTGTGGGGAAATTCTGTTGATATGATTAGAGCGTTTAAATTACAAAAGAAATGTGTGCGAGCGATATGTGGTGCGTGGTTTCTTGATAGCTGCAAACCTTTATTCAAAAAGATACGCATATTGCCGTTGCCATGCATGTATATTCGAGAAATATGTATTTTTGTAAAGCAACACCCGAACTACTTCAAAACCCACGCTGAATCTCTCGAAAGGCAAACAAGTCATAAAAATAGATTATTTCATCCCAAATGCAGCTCTAGATTTTATGCAAACAGTGCTCCTATAATGGCTATTAAAATATATAATAAATTGCACAATAACTTTAAAGAAATTCCTTTGAATAAATTCAAAATTGAGATTAATAAATGGCTTCTTGACAAATATTATTATAATGTTAAGGAATACTTTAATTAATTGCAATATTATTTAATGTATTATATAATTTATTTAATCTTTTGATATATGTACAATTAAATTTGATTATTTTAAGATATATTTGCACACCGGTACAACTCCCGGTAGAATATTATTGAGACTTACTCTTATACCAAATACCTTTATTACCTAAACATTTTATTCTGCAAATAAAGATTTTGAGTTTGATTTTGAATATAATACGCATTTATAGCTTAAAAATCAGTGTTGTAATATGAGGCAAATTTCGGGGAGTGTTTAGTCCATAGAAATCAGATTTTTTTACGTTCAAATCTATGCTACCCCATCCATGTTCCTGCGACTTGTTTATATATAAACAAATTCTTCTTAAGATAAGGTATATTTTAAAAATACTAAAATTGCCCAAGTATACTGGTGTTATTAGATATCCAGAAAACATATTTAACGCATATAAAAAATTAAAGGAAAACACACAGTCACCATAATTCTTATATTGTTCTAAACAATTTTTTTTGGAAGTGGAAAAAATACGGAATGGTGATTTCGGTCAAGGTTAAGGCTTTAGCTTCATAGACTACATACATACCCTTCGGCAAATTGTACAGAAGTCCGAAGAGTATGATCTGCCACTTTGCCTGGCGTATGTGAACTATGAGAAAGCCTTTGATTCCGTCGAAATTTGGGAGGTGATACAGTCTCTTCAGCGGTGCCAAGTTAACTGTCGGTATATCGAAGTGTTGAAGTGTTTGTACAGTAGGGCTACGATGGCTATTCGAGTACAGTAACCAGAGTACGAAACCTATCCAACTGCAGAGAGGTGTAAGACAGGGTGACGTTATAACCCCGAAACTCTTCACCGCTTCCTTGAAAGACGTTTTCAAGCTACTGGACTGGAAAGGATACGCGATAAGGATGGCGAGTACATCATTCACCTTCGATTTGCCGACGATATAGTCCTTATGGCAGAATCACTGGAGGACCTAAGCGCTATGCTCGATGACCTCGATAGTGCCTCCCAACGGATAGGTTTTAAGATGAATATGGACAAAATAAAGATCATGTTTAGTGTCCATGTCACACCTATGCCGGTAGTTGTTGGGATCACTAAGATCGAAGTTGTTGACGAGTACGTTTACCTGAGACAAATAGTCCGACTAGGTAAGTCCAATTTCGATCGAGAGGTCAATCGACGGATTCAACTCGCCTGGGCAGCGTTCGGGAAATTACGTTACATCTTCTCGTCAGGTATACCTCTAAACCTGAATACGAAATTGTACAACCAGTGCGTGTTTCCAGTGATGACATATGGAACTGAGGCGTGGTCCTTCACTACTGGCCATATGAAGAGGCTCAAAGTCGTTCAGCGAGATATGGAGAGGGCTACGCTCGGGATTTATCTGCGTGATAAACTTAGAAATGAGGATATCCGCAGTAGAACCAGAGTGACCGACATAGCCCAACGGATTAGTAAGCTGAAGTGGCAATGGTCCGTCCATATAGCTCGAAGAACCGACAAACGTTGGAAAAAAAAGGTTCTCGAGTGGCAGCCTCGTACCGGCAGGCGAAGTGTAGGGCGACCCCTCACTAGATGGAGTAACAACCTGTTTAGACATGCAGAAAGTTGATGGATGCAGGTGATTTGTGCCATACCTTGGGAGAGGCCTATGTTCAGCAGTGGACTTGTGAAGGGCTATAATGATGAATGATGATGATTTCGGTCAATATAACACATAAATAATCAATTCAAATTGCAGTTGTCTCGGTGTCCTAGTTTGGTCGTACGGGCACAGCGCGACAGCAAAAGATTTTTAAAACCAATTCTTTAAATTTCTTGCAGCCCAGA